CCAGTGCATGTCAGGGACAGGCCCTGGCTCCTGGAGGCCCAGCGTGAGGCTCTGCGGCCCCCACACTAGCTCAAAGCTGTGAGACCCAGCACCCAGTGTTCTCTCTCTCTCTCAATATTTTTATTGATTTCAGAGAGGAAGGGAGAAGGAGGGGGAGATAACAATGATGACAGAGAATCATCACTGATCGGCTGCCTCCTGCGCGCCCCCTATTGGGGATAGAGCACGCAACCATGAGCTCCTGGGTCGCAGGTTGAAGCTCAACCACTGCTACCCAGGCCAGGCCTGCCCACCCTTTCTACTGCTAAATCATGGACGGGATCAGAGTGGAGGAGGAAACGATGATTTCATCCGTTCTGGTCATCTATCACTGTTACAAACCACCCAAAACTCTTAGTGGCTTAAAGCAATTATTTTGCTCAGGAATCTGCACTTTCAGGACTTGGTAGGGACAGCTGGTCTCTGCTCCACTCCTCCTCAGCTGGGGCAGGTGGAATGGGGCTAGAGGAGCCTCTTCCCAGAAGCTCACTCCCATGGCTGCAAACTTGGTGCTGCCTCTTGGCTGGAGCTCCGTGTGGATGGTGGGAAAGGATTGGGGTGGAACGACCTCAATTCCTCTCTATGTAGGTCTTCCCTTGGTATTTCTCACACCATGCTGGCTGGGTCCAAGAGCAAATACCTCAAGAGGCAGGAAGTGGAAGCGGCCAGTCACGTGAAGGCCTGGCACGAGGAATCTGGCACAGTACCACTTCCCCTGAAGTATATTGGTCAAGCAGACACAGAGCCCACCAATTTAAGGGAGAGGACACAAAGTTCATTTATAGACGGGAGGAATGTCCAAGAACTTGTGACCATCTTTAATCCACTTCACCTTCTCTGGCTAATAGAACAAATGGGGATATGATAATAATCATAGGTACCCACTTACTCAGGCATGTGCCAAGTATTGGTGCTCAACGTTTATAAACATTCTCTCTTTTTGAAATATTTGAAACGAGGGAGGTGGAGGAGAGTATGGGGTGGGGGCTTGGGGGGGCATAAATGGTGAGGAAAGGAGGCTTGGGAAGGTGAACACACAGTTCAGTGTGCAGATGATGTGTTGTGGAATTGTGTGCCTGAAACCTGCATAATTTTGTTAACCAGTGTTAGCCCAGTAAATCCAATAGAAGTGCATAGAAAAAGTGAAATACTTGAAACTGTGATTTAAAAGAAACACATGCAGGAAGCAGCCAATCAATGATTCTCATCACTGATGTTTCTATCTTCTCTCTCCTGCTCCCTTCCTCTCTGAAATCAATAAAAATATATTTAATAATAAATAAAAATAAAAGAAATACTCCAAGAGGAATTACCATCTCGATTTTATAGATCAGGAAACCCAGGCTTGGAAGTACTTGCATACTTGTGGGAAGTGACAGTATGGGGCTGGAATCTGAGAGGCTCACTCCTGTCTTACTCATCATGCCCTATGGAAGGCCCCAATCCCCAAGTTGTCAAACAATACTGGAGATCAGAACAAGATACTTTTCTGGGGGAAAAACCTGAATGATGGCCTTCTGGTATGAAAAATACATTTACTTGAATATATTAAATGTTTTCCATAATAAATCCTTTGATTGTGGGTATTAATAACTGCAGTAGCAAAAAAATGTACACTATTTAGAAGAGCGATCCTGGTTGGATAGTTTGTTTTCTTGGATACATATTCGAGATGGTTGAAATTCATGAAATATCATTTTCTGCAAGTGAAGTTGTTTCTGTCACTGAGTCGCTGTTTCCTGGTGTTCAGCTAATGGCATCATGACTTTACCTTGCTTTAGCAGTATCATTCAAAAAAGGGGGCAATTCATTAGAAACATTTTTTTTTTTTTTTTGGCTGGCTGGAATCCTGGGGGTATTTCCGGGAAATAAAAAAAATATAAATTACATGCCTGGCCAGGTGACTCAGTTGGTTGTAGCATTGTCCTGTGCACCAAAAGGTTGAGGGTTCAATACACGATCAAGGCCCATGCGGGAGGCAACCCATTGATGCTTCTCTCTCGCATGGATGTCTCTCTTTCTAAAATCAATAAAACATATCCTCTGGCGAGGGTAAAAAACAATCTAATGAATGACTGGACAATAAACAATGTATGGACAATAAACAATGTATAATAAAAAATATATACATTATATATTGTTCTCTCTGGTACCATATACCATCAACAAAAGCCTAGCTTTCCATTTCTCTTAAAATGCTTACAGACCACACAGAATATAGATCATTGTTTACCCTCTTCCACATAGCTTGGCAATTTTTTTCTCTTCTATGTGGAGTAAATGTCTTTCCCTTTGAAGCAACTCCTAAATTACAACTTTGCTTCCATCCTGAATAATTTAATATTGAAATCCTTGTTTTATGGTCTAGAACAGTGGTCGGCAAACTCATTAGTCCACAGAGCCAAATATATACAGTACAACAATTAAAATTTCTTTTGAGAGCCAAATTTTTTAAACTTAAACTAGATAGATAGGTACATTGTTATTAACTTAGTTAGGGTACTCCTAAGGTTTAGGAAGAGCCACACTCAAGGGGCCAAAGAGCCGCATGTGGATCGCGAGCCGCAGTTTGCCGACCACGGGTCTAGAAGAATTGGAAAAGTAGCCCAGCTGGTGTTGCTCAGTGGTCTTCTTCCCACTACCAGATGTAAGCAAGCTCCAGGAACAGATCTGTTTTGTATACAAGTGCCCAGAATAAAGATTTGCTGGATGGGCAGTGATTAACCTCACGTCTTAATTCTAACACGTGATTCCTACTCTGGAAAGTAGCCCTTACACCTGAGAGTATGCTGTCTTCGAACTTTAGCAGCAGGGACCAATGAAAGTTGTGAAATCTTAGTTAAAAAAAGGCAACAAATGTTTTATTTCTTCAATGCAAATTACTGTATTCACCACAAGCTAAAGAACATATATATATATATATTTATATTTATATATATTTTTGAATTTATGGAAGACTAACGACATGGGAAAAATCCAGCACCCCAACAAGTACGGCCAGGAAGGAAACCAGCACTGTAAGAGGACATTTTAATGAACTACAAACGAAAAAGGGTAGGGAAGGAAGAAAAAATGTGCATTGAGTTTAAGACACTGTAAAACTCAGAAGACATATTTACTATTCAAGTATAAACTCAGTAAGGACTTGGCATAAATTGAAAGGCAGCTGCTGAGGTACACCATTATAAAGTAAATTCTATGGGTTTACTATTCTACCTTCCAATTTTCTGGGAGAAAAAAACCAAACTCTTGAAGGTCTTCACCAGAGACCCTGAGAGGGAGGAACACTTTGATGGAGATACAGTCAGCAATCCATGATTGAATTCACCATTCAAACATGTTATTTATTCAAAACAACAGGAATA